GTTCCCGCTGCAGCAGCAAAGGCGGGGGGGGCCCCCCACCACGCACCAACGGGGGGCCCCCAGGCGAAGGTAAAACCCCCCGCCGCAGCGGCAGGGGCCCCGGGGGCCCCCCCCCTGGACCCATATCAAAGAAAGCTCTCTCACCAGCAGGGGGGCCCCCCGGCCGCACACCAAAGAGGGGGGAGGGGCCCCCAGGGGGGCCCCCAGGGGGGCCCCCCGGGGGGCCCCCATAGGGGCCCCCACCCCCCATAGGAGACCCCCGCATGTGAGGAGGCATAGAATGCATAGAAGAAGACTTTGCAGTTTGCTGCTGCTGCTGCTGCTGCTGCTGCTGTCTGTGTCTTTGTCTGCCGCCTCCTCTATGTTGCTGCTGCTGCTGCTGCTGCTGCTGCTGCTGGCGAGAAGGAGACAAAGAAGCAGCACGTCTCTCCTCTTTTTGTCTGTTTGTTTTTTTGTCGCAAAAAGGAGACTGCCCAGAAGGAGAGAAATCCACGTTCAAGGAGACACCCCTATGCATGCATGCAACACATACACACGCATGCATGCAGTCAGCAGCAGCAGCAGCAGCAGCAGCAGCAGCAGCAGCAGCAGCAGAAAAAGCAGCAGCAACAGAAGTAGCAGCAGCAGCAGGAGCAGCAGAAACACCACCGCCACCACAACGACCATAATAATCAGCAGCATCAGCAGCAACATCAACAGCAGCAGCAGCAACACCAACAGCAGCAACAGCAGCAGCAGCAGCAGCAGCAATAGCAGCAGCAGCAGCAGCGTACCCAACAACAAATCCATGCATATGATTCCTCGCTTCTATAGCTTCTTTAGTTTTATTATAATGTACAAAGCCGCAGCCTCTCTCCAACAAAAATTGAAACCTGTCTATACACCCGAATAAACTAAACAAACGACGCGTCTCACCCACACACTCAGGCTTCAGGTCTGCAGCAAACACAGCAACAGCAGCAGCAGCAGCAGCAGCAGCAGCAGCAGCAGCAGATGCAGATGCAGCAGATGCAGCAGATGGAGATGCAGCAGCAGCAGCAGCAGATGCAGCCGAAAATGCAGCAGAGGAAGCAAGATGCAGCAGGAGATGCAACAGCAGCAACAGCAGCAGCAAGAGCAGCAGGAGCAGCACCAACAGCAGCAGCAACAGCAGCAGCAACAGCAGCAGCAGCAGCAGATACAGCAGATGCAGTAGGGGTGACAGAAACAAATAAAGCAAAGACACACAAAGACAAATAAACAAAACAAAGACAAAAAGACAAAGACAAAGACAAGCAAACATAAATAAAAAAAGCAAAGACAAGAAAAAAAAA